TGGCATGGAAAACCTCCATTTCTCCATGGAAAACCTCCCATACAGAGCATTCACCAAAAAACTCCACTAAAGGTCTCTAATGAATGCAAATTCAGCCCATGTTGCCCAGCCCTTTCTGAAACGTTTGCCGAGTAATATCGTTGCTTGCTAAATGTTTTGTCATGAAATACTAATGGTCACTTCCTAGCATTCCCTCACTGCATGTCATAAAACCCTAATAACCCGCAAGCCACAAACAAAGCCTCAGGAACATACAACAGGCCTCTTATCAAGGTAATTTTGCCTCCAAACACGAAGTCTCAGCCCAGGGTTGAATCCAGCCCCAGTGGGCAAAGAGGCCCAGGGTTACTACAGAAGTCATTAGACCTGACTACCAAGGACCAGGCCAAGCCAAACCTCACAGATTAGTTGTGGACGTGTATCCCGTATCGTTTAGTTCTGAGCGCCCCGGATGGCCACGCTGTGTGAAGGCTGCGGTCTGGGGGAAGAGGATGGTGAACGAGGTTTGCCTTGCATACAAGAATAGAATATGGTTCTTGACCTCAGGAGCTCGACAATGTGGTGCCACTGAGAACTGCAGTGGGCCTTCAGAGATAAGAAAGCTCTTGGTAGGCCAGAGTTGTCAAGGCGGGCCTCAGCGTAATGCAGGATTTAAAATAAGTCTTGAAAGAAGAGGAGAGAGGTTGTCAGATGGGGGGAGGGGAGGGACAAGAGCATAGAAAGAGAGATGGGTGTGGTGAAGAACAGTGAAGGCTGGCTTGCCTGGAATAAAAAGTTCCATTGGCAGATAAGGGCAGTAGATAAGCTGGATAAATAATATGAACCAGATACAAATGCTTTGATTGCCTATTTGGTAAAGTCTTAGTTTAACAAGGAATCTTCTTATGACCTTGACAAGAGAGAGAATGAGGAAAGTGTTGTATGAGGAAGATTAAATTGATAACATTGAATTACAGGATACTAAAATTATAGGAGAAAAGAAATGAAAGCAGGGATATTAGTTAAGAGATCATTAGATAATCTAGGAGTAGTCCAGATAAATTAGGACAGAAGACAGAAAGAGGAAGGGGCATATCCCAGAGAAATTATACAAGAAAGATTTCAATGTCCACTTCATATTAAGCTACATCCCAGAGTTCAATTCCAGGGCAAACTGTCCATTCCCTGTGGGCTGTGGAACATCTTGCCAAAAGGGCTAATTATATCAGTGTAGAAAACAAAAGCAGATAAATTCAGATTCTCCAAGTAAAGAATTTGCAGGATTTTTTTTTTCTGATTTATTTGGGAGAAAATTCTTGAACTCCTCCTTGCTACATATATAAACGTAGCCCAAAGATTATCATGGGGTTGAGATAAAAATGGAACATTTTTGACACTTGAGCTTGTAGTCAACCAAGATACGGTGCTAGGTTATGTGTTCAATCCCAGTTACAAACAGGTAATAATAACCAATCTTTACACAGTTACCTTGTTCAATGTTCATGACAACCCCGTAAAATCAGCATCACTATCATTTCCATTTTATAACCAAAGGAACTCAAAGTTAAGCATTTTTCCTAAGATCACTAATTTAGTAAGAGAGAGTGGAAATTTGAAGTCTTTTGACTTCAAAGCCAATGATCTTTCCCCCATACCACTAAATTTTCAGTCCAACACTGCAAAGCAGAGGTTTGTTCTCTTTAAAGAATCAAAATTAAATGATCAGAATTGTAGGTGTTTGTTCTCCTTAAAGGATCAGAATTTTAGGATATAGACTGATGAGTCTTGACATTTCCTTAATGTAACATGTTAATTCTTTATTTAAGAGAGAACAACTTGTGATTTTCTTCCACTGGTGGGCTACAGAGATAATAAAAATGATAGCAAAGGCTATTAAAATTTATATGGAGACTAGCACAGATTGGAATAACTACAAAGTGAATTCTTAAAGCTGCAATAGAAAGGTGGTGAAATAGCAAAATATGAAAGAAACTCTTCTTTCACTTCAGATGCCTTAAATATGCTGTCAAAAGACTGCTCAATTCTCAAATGCCAGTATTTTCTGACTCCTCTAGAACCTCCTCTTAATGCAAAATATCAAAGTCAGCGGGATAGTAGGTGTCCCAAAATGTCTTAATTCAGAGAATTAGTGTTAACTGAGCCTGATTAGCTCCATTTATCTCTAATTAATTACCTTTATCTAATTAGACACTTTGTTTCCAGTAGACATGGCGTCAAGTAGACTAGATTATTAGTGTAGTCATTGTGCCTTTACAAAATCCTGAAATTAATGAAACGTGCAAAAGAATCTGCAGTTCTAATTGCACAGGTGTTGCCTTATGGCAAAGCTTTATCATCTGATTACACCAAGGGGTTATTAGTGACTTTTTATATAGAGGATGAGCCTATGAAATGTACCTTAGCAACAGCTCATTAGTTTAGGGTTGTTACTGTATTATTTATTACATTCAGCCTTCCCCATTATCTAGATTGATTCATGGACCTATATATTTTTTCCTCTTCTCTGCGCAGAAAAAATAAAATAAAATAAACCATCATTCTGAAGAGTCCAGAGGCAATGTAGAAAAATGCAAAATGTGTTCATCAGCTACAATTTGACTCTTTTAAGACAGAAAGCTCTAAAGTTAGATGAGATCAGAATCAAATTTATGGGGGTTTTCCTATGGAAAAAGAACCAATTTAAATTACTGAGGAGTATGAAATGATTCATATATGTGATAAAAAAAAAAAACCAACCATGTGGCTGTCCCTAATGTCTTCACATAACTGAACAGGCATATCAGGGTATGTGGAAGAAAAAAGCAAAATGTTTTTACACTAAAATACATTTATATTTATTTTCACTTCATGTTTCCAAAACGGGTTAAGGAGACATCTCCACATATGCTCACCCACAACATTTATTTAAAAAAAAATCCATCTCTTGTTTTATTTTTTGCTTTTTTTCTTAAGGATAGATTTGTTACCAGATGGGGAAAACTGACAAATTATACAATCTAGCTTCGCTGAAAAAGCAAGATTTCAATACCTCCTTAGGAAAATGAAAAGTGCTTTTTCATGGCAAGGTTAGGCAACTGCAAAACACTAAAATATCCCAACCTTTGTATTTTCATTTTTTTCCCTTATAACCATTTGAAGCACTGTTTTTCACAATCATAGAGTAATTAAACAGCTAGAAGTAAATCCAGTCACAATCCTATTCCAGCATACAAACATGTTTATTGACAAAGCAGTAATTCTTTTAAATAATTTGTCAACATAAATATGTCAAATGGGTTTTAAAATCATTTCTCCCTCTGTTCCTCAACAAAAATTCCTCTACTGATATGAGCCATATATTGCTGTTCACTTACTGCTGAATCTAAACTAGTGAAATGATAACGGGTAACTGTTTTATTGAGCATGACAACTAATTTGAGTGGTAATAATGAATATTTAATGATCCTCCTTTCAAGCATGAACATATAACTTTTCATGTATTCCCTACCAAAATTATAACCATTAATCTAAAAATTATAGTTGCAACTGAAATAATAGCCAGGAATTATAGATCATAGCCAAGTCGGAATATTGCATAAATATTCTGTACGAACACAAACACAGGGGCACGTAGGAAGCTCCAACCTCCTGTTTTCATGCAATCCAAACCATCTCTTTGAAATGTATGAAAGTTGCATGATTAGTAGAGAAGATATTTGAATCCAGATATAAAAAGTCTATTATTTCTATCAATAAAAATAAGTACAATAGCCAAGGTCATTTTTACTCTTCACTAGCTCACAATTTCTAAACAAAAATAACATGTATATAAAAATGTTCCCCCTACAGGGGTAATATTTTTAGAATGTCCTATTTAAATCAAGAAAACAGTGAATGTAAAATTTATCAGAAAGGCAGAATTTTTATACTTTAAATTTCATTTTTTTATGTACTTAATTTCCCCAGTTATGTCCCTCTACCCAAAACTACAAATGTGACTTTGGAAAAAGAAAGAGATCTGAAGAATGCATACAATGCTTTAAAATGGGCTTTGTTCACTGATGAAAAACAATTTTGGTTAAATTTCCAAGTTATATCATTCCTAGTTCTCAGTGAGATCTGCATAATTTCATATGCCTACAATGTTGCAGAGAAACTATCTGCCTCCTTTCCTGGTTGGGTTTGCTTTCCTTATTACAGGAAAACCAGTGCTCTTGTGGTCACAAATATGCAATTCTACATCAAATCCCAGGTCTCTCTATTATTTTTTAATTGTTTTTAAAGGCACATTGTGCATTAAAAAATAATAAAACCTAAAAATGTGGGAAAGAGTAAGTAAAACCTGTACTTTTTCCCAGTCACGAGACTCTTTATCAGAAACTAACTGCCCAGTTGCCCATACCAGCCTCAGCTCGTCAACACGGTTTTGCCTCTTTAGGAATCCAGCTTACAGGCCAAGGTAGCATGTGTTAGGTCACATTCTCCAAATGTGTACATATTCACGGAACACATTTCTAACTGAGCAGGTGTTCTCGACTAAAGCCAAGCAAGATCAAATGAGACAAGGAATTCCAAATGTCCCTTGTAAACTGTACAGTGCTTCAGAAA